AAACCGTCTTAGCCTTAACTCCTATAGAACAACGACAGATGTAGCCGAGTTGCGAGCCCTAGGCTAACAAAGTCACTAAGGGGGACGTCTGTAGATGTGGTGACTTTGCCACGCGGTAGCAAGAATACGCAAGCAAGCCGATTGCGGAACCCCAAAACTACATTTTCATAGCATGATTACGGCTTCGATATCTATAACAATCCTGTTTCACCTGCCGAAAAATATACCACCTTCTCCCGATGAAAGGACGGCTATAATTTGAAAAGGATGCAGCCTACATAACCAGACGTTTTGCCAGTATTCCCATGCTAAACCAAGAAAGTCAATTCGGCAAGCATATGCTTTCAGCAATTCATCATCGGGCCGATACAATTGGATCGATAATGAAGTCATAGGAGTTGGAAATGGTTTATAAAGGTCTTATTGTTAATAGTCATCGTTCTCACACCGCTCGCATATTGTTGGTTCCAATGGCCCCAACATGCCAGCCTCGCCATGCGGGCGGTGTGAAAACGATGATTATTAAACCTCAGACATTTATAAGCCCTGTCTAACTCTTCTACTTTCCTTATCTATGAAATTGTATAGACCCGATGAAGAATTGGTGACATGTGCTTGCCAAATAACCAGAAGTGTTCCAATAATTTATAACGAGGACGATTTCTTGCAAAACCTCTGTAAGCATCACATAGCTTGCTACGTGCATAATTCAATACTTTCACCAGCTAGCGCACCGAAAAGACCTCTTCCATGGTGTCCAAAGTAGGTTAGTGCTGTGATCCAAAATATGTATCGTGTGTGGTTGCGAGTGAAGCAGTTATATGGACATTCAGTCACTGTCTAAAACACTGAAACTATAATTGCAGTGCATACAATTATTGCCCTAATAAAACATTTATGTTCTAGTCCTCGAGGAGCATAAAAACGAACATCTAGAAGACTGTCCAACTAATTCTATGAAGGGTAACTATTGACCATACGTTCTGAAGGCTATACGATTAAATTAAGGACGAATACCGTTGTGGTACTGCGTCACTGCACGACAGTTCAAACCTCACGAGCGATTACGTTCACCGTGTGCCTCAGGTCACGGCGGATGCTAAGACGGTGGTAGTAGACTTGGATTACACCTACCACACTCTTTCTCCTCCCTCACTCACTGGGACCCGGTGTCAAGACAGAGTCGCAAAGTTTGTGGGCGGGATCAGGCGCAGTGGCCGACAAAGGTAAAAACAGCCTGTCTACGCGTACAACACACGTCTGGTCAGGGGAACAGAGGGGGGGGACACCTCAAAACCTAACTGAGTCGGAGTGCCATAAAGGAGCCACTGCAGCCTGACTCTGTCCCCTTCCAGGACCGACTTATCCCGTCAGTTGGCAACTTTCCAAGACGCGACTTTTAGCCCACCAGGATAGTTTAAAGGCGCATCAGATTATTTATAGGGATAAATGTGTGGGAGGCGGAGACCCCAGAGTCGACCTCACTCTCGTTTCCCTCTCCCGTGCAGCAGTCTCACTTATCTACCGGAAGTGAACGGTCGCCCGGGTATCCTACATATCAGCCCGGATGAGGCCTAGGACGTACGTAAGCTTTTTATTCTTAATTCTTTTATTATAGCCTAGTTCTCCTAACCGCAGCAGCAAATTGGCTTTATTAACTACACATAATTCTAGTCTACCTGACTGTAACTTCACTAATCAGTTTAGACACAAATTTACCTCTTAGTTTACGCAGTCCAGTCTCTTAGCTAGATTTGCTTAGCAAACTGCTCGACATAAAGGTATATTAGAGACTTGTGCACTACTTTACAAACGCGCTATTATTATCCAAATGTTAATCACTATTTCCTCACATAGATTGGGAGTGCATACTGGGTGACTCCTTAAACGCACACGCAGGCAGTACTTATAGTATACTATCTACTGGCCTTAGTAAGCATGATAACTAAAAATTTTGCACGTTAGCATAGGCGCGTATCCATAGCAGCAGTATCTTAGTCCGTACCTAGCAGGAACGTATACAGCTCGATGGATCGCGTTGAGTGTGGAAACCAAGACAAACGCTGCTGTGCTCAGGAGCCCAAGCATGTACTACCCGAAATAGCTAAACCCAGAGTCACACTCCCTCTTGAGACCAAGGGGATATGAGCCCTAGTGTTGGCTAAATCAGCGTTACCTCTGATAAATGGTGGCGTCAGTGCCAGCACCAGTACTACTGGACTTCCTGCCGTGATTTAAGGGATCTGAGCCCAGTGCTGACTTAATTAACGTCACTTCTGACTACAAAATAGTCAGTACCAGTACCAACAAGTACTATCACTAAGTTACACCCTAGTAAGTAGTATTAGAAGAAAGCAGTACCAGTTCTGGTTTACTAAAGTCTGGCTAGATACCTACTATAGGTGAGTGAGGATAGATAGGACAGTAGTACCCGCGCAAAGTCTACTGTTACTTAAGACTAAGTGAGGCGGTGTATTGGCTTGCATTTGATACAG